CCGAGTTCAGTGGCTAGGACAGGGACAACCCTGTTCCAGAGCGCTCGGGAACGCTCTCATAGCGTTTCGGAGCGTTCCAGACGCCGTCAGGGCAAATTGCCCGCAGTGGATCGTCGCGACCTTTATGTTTCCCGGAAAGGGCGTGGGCCCAGGGTTCTCTTTTAGCTGTTTACCCCCGGATCCGACGGCTGTAGGGCTGGCGAATTTCTTTTGCGATAAATAACGAGGTCGCCTAGGGCCGGCGAACTAAAAGTTGAGGATTTCTCGAGCGAAACGCTTGTTTTTCAGAATTTGTTGAGGATGTCTCGAGCGAAACGCTTGTTTTGTGTTATAGATTGTCCTCTCCTGGGGACCAGAATTTAGAGGATCTCTCAAGTGAAATGCTTGGTTTCACATGCCCAGGTCTTGAGGATGTCTCGAGCGAGACGCTTGGTTTCACGCCTCCAGGTTGCCTAGGCAGAGGTCAAGCGCCAGGATTTGTTGAGGATGTCTCGAGCGAGACGCTTGGTTTCACGCGTCCTCGTCGGCCAGGCGGATGTCTAGAATGAGGAGGTGTTGAGGAAGTCTCGATCGAGATGCTTGTTTGCACGTGTCCAGGTTGCCCAGGCGGATGCCTAGCATGAGGATGTGTTGAGAATGTCTCGAGAGATACGCTTGTTTTCACTGTCCAGGTCGCCCAGGCGGATGCCTAACATGAAGATGTGTTGAGGATGTCTCGAGCGAGACGTTTGCTTTCACGTGTACAGGTGGCCAAGGCGGATGTCTAGAGTGAGGAGGTGTTGAAAACGTCCCGAGCGAAACACTTTTTTCACGTGCCCAGGTCACCCATGCGGACGTCTCACATGAGATGTGTTGAGGATGTCTCGAGCGAACTACTTGTTTTCACGTTTCCAGTTCGCCCAGGCGGATGTCTAGCATGAGAATGTGTTGTGGATGTGTTGAGCGAAACGTATGTTTTCACGTGTCCAGGTCGCTCAGGCGGATGTCTAGAATGAGGATTTTGACAGGATGTCTCGAGCGAAACGCTTGTCCCCAGCACGTTCCGTAGCGCGTCCCCTTGGCACGTCCCGCGGTGCGTCCCCATGGCACGTCCCTGGCATGTCGCCTGGCGCGTCCCTTGAGACGTTCCGCGGCGCGTCCTCCTGGCATTTCCCCCTGTCAATTAGCTCTGCGGCAGATCCTATGTGTTCAGGCAGCTCGAGCTTAAGATCCATATCAGTTCGGTTAGGACTCGGATGCAAAGGAGGACTCGATCCACGACGCTATAGAGCACAACCGCGGCATGGCACGTCGCAATTCAGCACGGTGCAGCACAGCACAGCCCTCGGCACGGTACATCAAGATCGATACAATCAGCATTGCACTTGCCCGTCACCCAATCAGGTGTCTTTGAAAACGTTGCCATGCGTTACATTTCTATATTCCCTTCCGGGTTCGTGGGTCGATCATGTTTTTGTTCTTTGGCCGGCCATGCAACGTGGGCTCTTGCCGTTTTTTCCAGGTTTGGTGAATGGCCCATCTCTCGAAATCGTCGGGTCCGTCAGGAGTGCTGGCATCATTTTGGCAGCCGCCCCCATGCACTTGGCCAGAGCTAGCCTCCTAGTTCCTGGCTCTCCGAAAGGAAGTGCACACTCGCCGACGCGGCGACGAAGGTGATCCCCGACAGTTTCAGCCACGACTTCGTCGCAGACCGCGCAGCGCTCCTGGCGCTGCTCGAGTGGGGAAGCGGCACGCTGACTCCAATGCTGAGAAAGGAGGCCCGCGCATTTTGATATTCCAGCGGATGTTGTGATGAGAAGGGTTCAGGAGGGGAAAAAGCAGACAGAATTAATCGTCGACTCCCAGGAAAATATGAGGAAGTGGGGGGGGGAAGACAAACACCCAGAAACTATAGCGAAATATGGGAACTCCTTGGATTTGTGTCTATTTATTCAATCGCTTCGCTCATTCCGCCGGCCCTGGAGCGCTATTTGGGGCCTCTTGGGGCCGTCTTGGGGGCCTCTTGGGGGCTTCTTGGGAGCATCTTGGGGCTCCTTGGCGGCGTCTTGGGCTCCCCTGGGGCCTCTTAGGGGGCTCTTGGGGGCCCCTTGGGGCGGGAGGGGGGGTAGTCGATTGCAGCCACCCCCTCGGAGGCCACGATCCTCGTGAGGGGTGGCGAAAAATAGCCTCCCCCCTTGGGATCGCCCGGGACCCGGCCGGGGTACTTTTCGGGGGCCTCCAGGGGCCGCCCCGCGCGCGCGAACTAGAAATATTGTTCAGTAGTTACTGGAGATCTTAGCACGCCTCTGGCCCGTTGGGCTGGCGAATTTGTTTGTCCCTTGGCCTCTTTAAGGATGAGCAGCATCGCTCGAGACACCCGTTCGTCGTCTGGTTTCGAGGCGGCGCCCAGTTGCACATCCACTTCGCGCGTAGCCGCACCGTCGGTCCAGGGGGGGCCGTCTGAGGCTTCTGGCAGGGGCCAAGCATCCTGAGTGGCCCATGCACGGTTGAAGTTGGTTGTGGCCCCAGATGTGCAGTCAATCCGCATAGTAAGGATGGGCAATTTTCCCAAGGGTACCTTGGCATCCTTGCCTCCTCGGTCCATCCTTGGCCACTTTCGTTGGCCGCGCCCCCCTCGAAAAGCTTCGAACCGGCCTTCCGTGGCCCTCGCCTCCTCATCGTGCGTCCTTCTGATACGGGTCGACCGTAGTGCGGCAGGTTCTCGTCGCAGCGACGCGGCGGCGGCCCCGCCGCGCGCGGTCAAGGTGGAACGCCAGTGGCCCAGAGTCCGCCATCGGGTGCGGCCAAGACGAGGGGAGTGATGACAAGGGGGGGGGAATATCACGGCGTGGGCCATGATATTTCTTTAGATCTCATGGCGCCTCTTCTTATTTCATTACGTCCCTGGCCCCCCCCCTGGGCCGCGCACATGCCGCTGGCCATGATTGGCGCCCCCCCCCCCCCCCTCTTGGACGCCCCCCTGTTGGCCGTCCCCGACGCCAGCATGGAACGCTCTGGCGATCGAGGAGCAGCCGAGTCGGCAAGGCTGAAGGACATCACGTGGTGTCAGAAACCAGCGCCTGGGGCGTCACGACGCGACGCGCGCCGAGAGATCGTGTACTGTAAGATCCGTGGCGGGCGCTTTCTGGCCACACCGCTCGGGAAATCATGTACTGCAGGATGGTTCTACTAAACCTTCGGCTCGGTCGCACGCCTCCGAGGATCAGGAGGGGAAAGAGAGCGCAGACACAACGAAGCGCCGATCCCCCGGAACCTGTGGGAACCCATGGGAACCTGTGGGAAGTGGGGGGAAGACGACTACCCGAAAAATGTGGTCAAATGTGGGGCATCCTGGGATTTGTGGCTCTTTATTCTCTTGCACAGGGTGTCTAGAGCTCCGACCACTTTATTCCGCGTCGCCCCCCCCCCCCCCCCCCGCGTCCCCAGCGCCAGAGTGGGACCCCCGCGCCGTGGCTGTCTGCCCCGAGCCCCCCCCGCGTCCCCAGCTCCCCAGCAGGAGCCCCGCCCACTGCCCCCTTCGCCACGGACGTCCTCCTTCCCCTCCATGTTGTGCCAGAGCCATGGCACGCGTGCCACTTGTTTCTGTGTCCCAGGGCCCCTTTCCGAGGAGGACGCGCAGCACCCTCTCCGAGGAGGACGCGCAGAAAATGTGGTCAAATGTGGGGCATCTTCCGTGTCTCAGGGCCCCCTCTCCGAGGAGGACGCGCGGCACCAACATGTGCCCCCCGTGCGCCCGAGAGCAGGGGGCGCCAGGGGGGCCGCGCGTCCCGCGCAGCCGCGCGCGGTCGTGGGCCCGAGGGCCGCCCCGACGCCAAGGGGCGGCCGCTCGAGGGCGCGGGAGGGAGCCCGCCGCGCCCCTCGCGCGGCGACGGGGGCGCCCTCCCTCCTCCTCCTCGCTCCTCCTCCTCCTCACTCCTCCTCCTCCTCACTCCTCCCTCCTCCTCCTCACTCCTCCTCACTCCTCCGCCTCCTCCTCACTCCTCCTGCCTCTCCCTCCTCACTCCTCTCCTCCTCCTCCTCCTCCTCCTCCTCCTCCTCCTCCTCCTCCTCCTCACTCCTCACTCCTCAATCCTTTTCCGCCTCTTCCTCCTCCTCACTCCTCCTCGTCTTCACTCCTCTCCTCCTCCTCCTCCTCCTCCTCCTCCTCCTCCTCACACTCACCCCTCCTCCTCCTCCTCCTCCTCCTCCTCCTCCTCCTCCTGCACCTCGACGCCAGGCGGCCTGGCGCGTGGCCGTGCGGTCGTTAGTTCGGGCAGGGTCTGTAAGTATCCATGACTTGTACGGCCACCCTTCGGGTGTCAAGGAGGTTCGGGGGGCATTCTCGTGAGTCTTCTCACCGGCGCACGTTTTACACATACCCGCTGGTCGTTGAAAGTAGGTATTTTTGGATTCCCAGATCCCAATCTACTTCAAGCGCCTTCCTACTTCAAGAATCGACACGCTTTTGCTGTGTTTTGTTGTTCTCTGGGAGGACCTGGACCCAATTCACTGTATCCGCCTTCCTACTTCACGTTTCTACTTCTGCCGACCGAAGTGTACCCTGCCTCTGTCTGTCGACACGTGGCCGCAAGAGCGTGGGTCAAGAGCACGGGCGCCTCCGCCGACGGCCCAAGACCCCACGGCGCCGTCCACGGGCCGTCCACGACGAGGAGACTCCCCTCCACTCTTCGGGGGGGGGGGGGACAACCGCGGATGGGGGGCGTGCTTTTGTGGCCCTGCGGCGCCTATGCCAGAGGAAGATTCGTTGCCCTCCTCCTCCCAGGCAGCTAAGCTCCTGGCCGCACACACGGCACGAGTGCGAACAGGAAACCGCTTGCCCAGTGGGTTTGTTGCTGTTTCAAACCGAGCTCACCCCTCGACTTCCGATCCATTGCGTTTTGGAGTTTCGCGTTCCCTTCCCCAGAAACCGGAGGCACAGTGGATATGTGTACATTTATATATATACACACTATATATCTAGATATACTCTGGCCCCCAGAGGCTCGATGTTTGTCCATATC